TTCTCGGTTGCTTGGCTTATGTTTAGCATGTGTTGCGGCATGGTCGTTGCATGTTTGTGAGCGTACAATGGTTACTCGCAGGTTCCCCGAGCGTGTGTTGAGTGCAGCAGTCACTCGGCGTCACTCGTTTCAACACCGCAGCGAGTGCAAGCAGCAGTAACTCTTCCTGCCATCAAACTGTGTGCCTCTACGAAGCTGTGCTTGAACTTATCTGTGTTATTGTAGACTGGCTTATGGCATTGATTATAAATAATATGTCGTTTTACTGTGGAAACTGATCGCAATAAGCTTCTAGATAAAATCTTGACTTAAATTTGATTACTAAATGGTTGGGAATGGTTTTGCTTTTCATATCATGTAAGCATTTTGGGAATCGAACTTATCTCTTGCGTTTAAGTCGATACTAAGACAATACTTGGGTGTTTTAGTTTCTGAAGAAAAAAGGGTGTTTTTTTAAAAGGGTGGGGAAGGAAACAACAATGTAACAGTATATTTCGTACCTAGGGCCGAAAATGAGGTTTTGCCGGCTCGAGATAGTTTTTGAGTTCGAGACGAAGTCGAGAACTTAAATCGATCGAGAGCTGCAAAACCATTTCGGTCCGTGGTACGAACGCTATTTTTCACCACACTAGACCCTATTACCACTATTCACCACTATAATAATGCACACTGATCGTACAACTTTAAGGTTATGTGAAGAAATAATTTGAGGAATCAGCAAAAATAAAAATAAATCGTTGCTAGGCAACGGTGACAATAACACAATTCTATATTGCAATGCTATGGATTTTGATTGTGTATTTAAAACGCATTCATGTTTTAAGTAAGTAAGCGGACAGCTGATTTTGCGGCCCCGGCCTGTAAAAACCTGCTCGGTCCCCAAATTGGCGACAGCTGGCATGGCCAGCAAAACGTAACTTTCAGCCACCAATTAACGTATGTAATACAGCCAAAAACATCATAGTGTGGTGAAAAATACAGAATTTGTTTGGTGTATGGTATTTCATATGATTCAATAGTTTTATAACTTAATTTAGAGCATGGACTTGAATTCAAGCTCTATTATTTAATTTCAGACAAATTAATATACTGAATTAACGATTCAAAGAATGAAGAGTACCATTATTTGTAACCAATGCCATATTTTTTATGTTAGAAGAACTCTATTTTTAGCTTTAATGTATCTTTTGTACATAGTCTCAAGTAGATGTTTTTGTTTAATTGTAAGTCTTTAGAAATGATACTGAACAAACTGTATGAAGATGTTCCAAGTTGTTTGAATGTGATACTTTTTACCAATTAAACTGCAATAATAAATTTCTTTGTTATGAAACAATTATAAAATATGTGGTCCCGTATTCTTTAAAAACTGTGTTTACACTAGCAAAATAATATTCTTAGGATATTTATGTAATACGGGGAATTTGTGAAAACCTTAAAAAAGTAAATTTAAAATGGATTTTTTAACCTTGAAAACCCCTCAATATATTCATGAATTTAGCTACTTAACCTTAAAAATATATAACTACAGTTCTCTTCATACCCTTAGTATCAAGGAATAGGCAATCAACAGAAATAAAATAAATAATCATTTTGGGTTAACGGAATCATATTGGGCGATAATTTTTTGGTAAACAGAAAAAAAGATATGTGAAAAGGAATCAAGACGACCTTCAATCCCACCGGATCGGTTGAGCAAGACTTGATATATCCTGACAATATACAGGCTGACATTAGGTTTTAGGAGTTTCCTCTATTAATGAAATGAAGAATTTTCTATCTTGTTTAGAAATAGAGACAGAGTGATAATAAATTGAAAACATGAACATAAACTGTAGATGGAGGAAATGTTAAATCCACTAAGATAATTGCGGCAGGACACCGTTAAATCACATCACAAAAAAAAGAAAAAAATAGCCATACACGAAGAAAAAAAAAATATATAATAGCTACAAGACCCATTTCATGCCCTCAGACTAGGGAGATGTACAAATAACGTTAATTGAAGAACCAGGGCCGACAAGTTTTGTTAACTTGGCCATGCATGTAATATCTTGAACAAATGTATTTGAGTTTGAATTTTTAATCTCAATAACGAAGATGTTGATTTAAGAGTAATGGGATGCATCCCATATAACTAAAATGTTAATTAAAATAAAAATGTAAAAGAAGGATTAGTTAATTATTTAGTAAGTTTTTTTAAAATAATATTAAAATTTAAAATTAATCAAACCAAAACAATAATTACCGGTACCCAAGCAACAAAGAAATATCACAGCCGAGCATCAATTTAAAAATTCTACACAAGTCAAAATACCTTACGGGTTTTCCCTCAAAATTGCACTCTGCAGACCGCACTTAATTTTACATTACGTACGTTCTTTTTTTCATAATAGCCTATAACAAAACCATTAGACTTGATCTTTTAGCACTTGGGATTCAAAATTTCAGGATTCGATCATCGACTGTTGTAATGACGGCCAAAAAACGAAACCTAAGCCCAAAATTGAATCCAAAATAATATACTTCGGAATCTTGATGTTCATGGACAGCAATCCATGGTATTGTTTAGGTCTACCATATCTAAAATTGGTAATTTTTGTCCTACATTGTTAAAAAAAAGATAGTTTAGTGTGCAGGTCTATACATCGACAACCTATACAACCTATTGGAAACAAACGAAAAAGGTATCGCAATGATAAAACAGATTGAGTCGCTAATTACTGTACATGTATTAACAAAATTGCCGTAGTTTCACTACCACTACTCACTTATTTGTCTTTGAAGTTCACTAGGACGTTTTGTGATTCTGTCGATGCATCTGTCACCCACTAGAACCTGGCCCAACCGCTATCAATGTAAAAAATATGCAATTGTGACCCTGAACGACTTTGAATTTTATTACCAAGTTTGAATAATAATAGTACTGTTCCTACTCGACCAATGTTTTTTTTATAATACAACTATTGTGTTTGATTTTTTGTTAATTTTAGTGTTTGGTGGGTTGTGTTTATTTAGCAATATTGTGTTTGAGTAGTTGTAAAGGTTATATTATTTAGCCGTATTATTTGTTTAAATTTCTGTTTACGTCTTCTTTCTCTTTCCCAGTGATTGTCGAAATAAGCTATGTTCTGTATATAATATCATAGACAAAAAAGAATTAAAGCTTGACTGTCAGCCGTGCTACGGTTACTCATAGGTTCTGGAGCAGGCGTACACGCTACGTAACTACACGGCGCTCCCAGCGGTGTGCTCCAGAACCTATGGTAACCGCAGCACGGCTGACAGTCATTATTTAATTCTTTTTGTCTATGATTCAAAACTTTACATACATATATAACAATGAACAATGACAAAGTTAGCAATTTCATAATTGTTTATTAAGTATTAGAGAATTTCCATTCTCACGATTCAAGACTGCCTAGTCAGGTATATTATTTTAGTTTATCATTTGTAGGTTATCTTCATATGAAATAATCAGAGTAATATTTGTTAGATCTGCTAGTTTATTTTGTACTAACATTAAACTTTGATTTAACATAGTGTTAGTTGGATATTTATTACAGTCATACCTATCATCATCATATTTTAACATTGCAGTGCAACCTCAATCTAACAAGGAACAATTAATTTGAGTATTTCGTAATTGAGGTTGTTACAATGAGTTAGGTTGCACTGTATCAGCACCCAAAGTGCCACAGTATTTATTATTTTCTAGTTTTCTACCTCATGTTTTACTCAATAAGTACTTAGGATTATTATGTACAAGGATAGGGATCAGCTAGCTTACCTGGTAGATAGAGTCCAGATTAGCCTTGATTACACATAAAACACATGACACAACACAGATAAAGTTTTTCTGTGTTGTGTCATGTGTTTTATGTGTAATCAAGGCTAATCTGGACTCTATCTACCAGGTAAGCTAGCTGATCCCTATCCTTGTACATAATAATCCTATTCAGCCAATTGGCCTTTCCTTAACTCCTAATCAATAAGTACTTAATATTATTACTTAACACTTTTTATTACTCAATAAGTACTTAATGCTTCGTTTGAATTACTCAATAAAAAAAGAAATTCTATGTCTAATTTTGGTGCATTTATTTTCCTTTGGTACTAAAACAAGAGATCGCAAGAAAATGACAAACTCAATTAATAAAAAAAAATTTCTATCTTAACCCTTAGAGTGCCAGGCGAGAAATAAAAGTAACGCTCAAAAAATGCCGATGATTTTTCCCGAAGGTCGCGCTAAAAATGCCGAGCCCGATCTGGCGATTTTTAGGTTAAAATTTCGTAAAAATCGAATTTTCGATATTTCGACCAACAAAAATCGATGTATCGCATCTAGTAACTTTCGACTCAATGTTAATATATGGGTTAAAAGAATCCGAGTATCCATTCGGTTATGACAACTGTTCGATCATTACGAAACGTCCGGTCAGCCGGACGTTGGCACTTTTGGCTCGTTCTAAAAACGTCCGGTCGGCCGGACGTCGGCACTTTTGGCTCGTTTTAAAAACGTCCGGTTCCCCGGACGTTGGCACTCAAAGGGTTAATTAAATCCAAAATTATTCTGATATTTAGTCCTAACATCCAATTTATTTTATTCACAGTAAAAATAGGCGATCATTTAGCATTAAAGTGGCATTCAAATCTACGCATATTAAAGTACTGTACTGCCATTTTGATTTAACTCCTAAAAATATTTCAGAAACATTAAGTTTTTATTGGTTTGAAGAAATATACTACATCAGGATCAGCTAACCAGCAGACTTTATTAGGGTTCAAATATATTTAATTTACAAGCAAAAACCAATCTAGAAATTTCAACATGTGAACATGTGACATTTCAGAGTGTATGATTATTCCTTTAAAGAACACATTACTGGTGTTATACTGATACAATAATCATTCCAAATTGAAAGCATTTCACAGCGAAATTCTATTATTTATTAAAACTTAAACACAAAATATGTGATTTATTCCAAATATTTTTCCAGATCTGTGGATGGCAAAGAGAAGAAAAGCAAGAAGAAGGGGCTCTTTTAAAGTTTGACTTCAAAATAAGTTTGGAGAAAATTAAAATTTTAAAAAGAACGAGCGGGCGAACTTCAAACGGACGTCCAAAAGGAAAACTTCATCTTCCCAGAGTCTCGTTAGCTGTGTAACTATAAAAGGATAAGTGTCACTTACGATGTAAATATTTAAATTATTACTTACGCATTACACTTCCATAATCTGTAAATAAAAAGTTATAAAGTAGATTGTAAGAATCACGGTGCAAACGTGCATTTTTCTGGTATCTATTTCAATCGTGGTGTATATAAAAAGTGTAGCTGGTACTCAGATTTTATCTTTTGACTGAAATGTATTTTACGTAACAACGGACCATTCCATCGTTGCAACTAGATTGTAAATGCTATGAATGTCAAAAGTAGATTTTTAGTTCGTAAGGTTGCGTGCATGAAGATCCAAACAATTTGTTATATGTTAATTTCCAAACTTGTGGAAGCATTTATTTATTAAGTTAAAATCGCAAATGGGTTCGTATATTTGTACTTATGTACTTGTTTTGAAAATAGTAGATGTATGGGATTGTTTATTAAAATGTATTTTATATTATCAAGATAGAAAGAATTATGTGTAGTGAAATTATAAAAATTTCCATTTAATTTCTTGATACTTTGCGTTTTACTAAATTTGGCACCTTTAACGTTACATTTACAATCCTGATTATTAAATTATGGCGTAGGTGAACACAGAAAAAAAATTTAGGGAATACAAATTCAAGCTAAACATTACATACGTTGGCTCTATATTTAAGCTATTCAACTTTTTAACTTCTATAGACCAAAAAATTGGAACTGTTTAATGACTCTTTAAAGACAAAGACAATTTCAATACCTTATTAATGTAGTAAAGCATAAAATGAAAGGCTGTGAAAATAATTTTGCTTTCTTATGGTCCTTTCCAAGCAACTTCTGTATTGTGTGCTATAACATTGTCTGCAGATTTTAAACATCGGCATATCCAGATAGTCGTGTGCCAAAATAAGAACTAGTAACAAACTTTACTTGAGAGAGTTGATAGAATTAAGTCTCCAAGTTCTCAGTCATAGTGTATAAGTTAATACAGGTAGCTTACGGTTTTACAAGAAAAAATATACTGTCGGAAGTTTTGAATTAGTATTTTTGTGCACCTAATTTACAAAAGCCACACAATAATATGCCATTTGTGAACTGTTCTATTTTGTTTTGAATTCAACACAAGCTTTTAGTCGATTCGATATAAATATGATTTGTCGAAGAAAAATGTATTATTTGATTGCTGTTCATCTTGGAATACTTTGTTGGAAAACAAGTTCAAAAAAATTAAATCAGAAATATTGGAAGAGTGCAAATTTAATAAGACTTTTATCTGACGTTAAGTTCTTTAAACAAATTGTCATGATGTGATATCAAGAAATATCGTATTACCTGTTTTGTGTTAAGAAAATTCAAAAAATTCTATAGTATGTATGATATTAAAGAGAGGTTACCGCTACTAGAAAAAAGACTTTGATTGTAAAAGGATATTGTTCTAAATCCTAGTCACAACTACAAGACCATTCATGACTTATGTACAGACTTTAAAGTTCCTTGTAAATCTTTTTGCATTTTTTGTTTTAATAATTATTATTGCAATGTTTCCAGGGAGCTTTTTTTTAGTTGACGAAATTACCAGGTGGCATATTTAACTACAACGAATATGTACGGTACTACACTATTTTTTATGTAATTTATTGTGGTTATGTAATTTGTTTTGTTTTTTATAAATGTCAGTTTAATAATAAGATAGATCATGTAGTTATTTTGTGGTTAGTGTAAATGGTGGTTATACTGACCATTGAACATAATAAATATTATTTGAAATAGAAAAGTTGTGATTGTATTTATTTGCCCAATTGCAATGTCTGTTATAATTTACAGTATGATTAGTAATCATGTTAGTGATTTCAATAATTAATATGATTCAGCACGATAGGTAATCAAATATATTACAGAGAGGGTTAAATCAAAGTTTACTTTTTAAGTACCTTAAATCTTGTAGGACTATCTATCTATAATGCTTGTGTTTTGAGTTCGTTTGATCTATAGCTGAAACTACAGAACCTTTAATCCTTGATGGATATTAATTCTAAAACAGAGTGACGGTTTTTCAGAGATCAGATAATTGAGATTTTTACTTAATTTATGTTAAGTTTTACTAAAAATCTTATTTTTAGATTGCAGAGTAGTTGTCCTATCAAGGATAATGCACTTATTATTTTTATCCAGTAAAAATTTTTAAATCAGAATCCCGGTTGGTATTCCTCAAAGCAGTTGTCTATTGTCTTAGACCAATTCTCTTGCTCATTCAGTGAGATGGTCAAACGACCATAGACTTCTTCTCAATTCTAAGAAATCGTTCGTTTATGGTTTGACTTCACAGAAAGGTTATTATTATTATTTCATGAACCATTCAAAATGCATTTTGAGGTAGACAATATAATCAATCAGCAGGCTTGTTTAGTTAAATATGATAATGAAAAGATTTAAAAACATACAAAACACGTGAATTTTAGGAACTACTGTACTTATCTGCTTCTTAATTTTCAATATTTTCTTACAAGAGAGAGAAAATAACTGCAAATGTCCAGGATTGGAATGAAAGTTATTAGTTTTTAAATGATTTTTTATTAGAAACACTACACTTTATTAACTATAAACAGCATTCTCACATAGTAAGATTCAAACACAGCTAAGATCCGGACGCAGAAAAGCTGAGAAGATCGCTCGTACACTCCCACAGAACAGTCTACTCGAAATACGCAAACTTTACACGAACATCAACTCCGACCCCGACACATCTAAACAGGCAAGTATATAGCCAGGTGCTGTCAGCGTACCGATGCAAAACCTAAAATATATTTTCAATCCGTTAATAAACTACCTTAAACGTAAACTTAAAAAAAGAGTCTAACTCGTATTACAAATTACAACCTACACAACTCAATTCAACTTTAAAATAAATACACAAATTAAATTTACAGAACCGAAAAAAAATAAGAAAGTAACAGATGTAACTTAACGTACGAAAATTTTACTCGATTTTATCATAGTTAATACATTTTTTAACACATTTATCTTGAGATCTCAAATCTTCACTAAGAATTTCTGTGTTATCTGATGCGAGTGTCGTGGATCATGACTCGCCGTTACCACTGTCGTCTCCGTCGTCGTACTCGTCTCCGGACATCTCTAGATCATCGTCATCGTCGTCCAGGTCGTAGTCGTCTACGTAGAAGTCTGTCATGTCCACTGGAGCCTCCGGCTTCTTCACTTGTGTTTTGATGCAATATTCCTCCAGAGTTGTAGGGATCACAACTCCGTCTTTCTCAGCCTCAGCTCGGCCGCCCGACACTTGCTTCCTGCATAACATAACAAGATTAATTACTTTCATGAATTTAGAAACAGAAATCTTGTCTAAATTTACCAAAACCACCCTTTATAACAACTAACAGTGCTTTTACTATAGATAGAACTAAACATTCCAATTCCTTTGTTTAACCTGTAGCTACTATAATTAATAAAAGGAGAGAAATAAAAAAAAAAACTATTCTGGCGTCAATGACGTTTAACACATCCTCTATCACACAACCATTAGAATCAAAAACAAAATATTTTATGTGAAAAACTTTTTTTAATGTTTATAAAAGGTAAAATAAAAGAGTACACCATTTAAAAAAATAATTACCATTTGTCTATGCACTATTGACTTGATGATTAGTGTGTGTTAAAACATGGCAATTCCAGTTGACAAAATGACATTGTGTGCAATTTTACAAACAGCTGTGCATATCATTGTTTTCTTCACAGGTATGTTAGTTGACAGGTATTCATCAGTTTTACACAGACTTACTAGATGCGAAACTGAGCTGTCAATTGTAATGATTAGACATACTAACTATTGAGAATTAGAAATTGTGATTTTATATCAAATAGAAACCAAGGACTACACATGACTACAATATCAGTTTTTAAAATGTTGGTTTTTTTTCTACCGCATTGATGCAAAATACTATGACAGAAGTGAGTGAAAATTTAAAAACGTACGTTTTCAGGAAAAGCACTTTGCAAATTTTTTTCCCCTTTTTTCAAAACTTTTATTATTTTTTTTATTTTATTAACATTTGAAGTTTCATAAAATGTCCATGGTAACGCAATATCTTTGGTAGTTTTCTTTTTAAAGAGCATCTTTCGTAGAAAAACACAAAATCCTGTCACGACCATAACGGACGTTTAAATGAATATTAAAAATAGTTAATATTATTTTTATAACTATGTTTTGCTATAAACTAATTTACTTTTATGACCATTATACAATAAAAAGGTCACTGAGCTTTTGGTATATTTGGTCTTTCTAGAAAAAAATAAAAATACCCCCGCCGCAGCAAACCTGCAGACTAAGCGAATTTCCATTAACCTGATTGGATTTACACTAAAATGCCTCCATAAAAAATAGCACATTTATTTCCTATTTAAATAGAATTAGTTTAACGAGTACTTAGGTTTGCTGCAACAGGGAGAGTAAAAAAGATTTTTTTTATAAAATGATAATAGTTTAGTAAGAAATAAAAGTATTTTCCAAAATCGATCAAAATATGTTCATAACAAGCAAACTACAACAGTTGACTTATTCTCCATAAGAATAAAATGGGAATTTTAAAATTACAATTTCTTTGAATTTTCTCCCTAACAATTAGGCGCATAATAACGCTTCAATATACTAAATTATTTGTTTTTTTAAGCTCTACAAAATGGTTTAAAAATAAATTGTGAAATTTTGTGTTTTTAGGGTCAAAAATGGGAAAAACCTATTTTTACCCCATAAAACCCCCCATAAACCCCCGTTCCCATAGTCCGATCATGCTGGTTCGCGAACTCGTTCAACTTTATCCCGCCTTACACTTTCAAACCAAATTTTATCAAAATCGGACAAAAATTACTCAAGTTATCGTGCGGATGGACACATATATATCTCTCTATATATAGATATATAAAAATTTGAACGAATGGTGTTTTTGGCCTCTGGGGACATCAAAATGAAAAAGTAAATCGGTCCCGGGCTTAGGTCTTACCATGAGACCTACGGTAATAGCTACTTCCCTATAGGGAAATTCGCTAAAAACTCAAAAAATAGAAAAAAGCCAATAAAATCTTTTTAAGTTTGTATAACTCCGAAAAAACTTACCTGAGACCCGAAAAATTGTTATGTTTGTATAGAGGTGTGCTTCTTTTGTGTATAAAACATTGAAATATGACGATATTTTAATTTTTGAAATTTTTATGATAGAAATCATAAACGTGATGGTCAGGGACAAGCGGTATGGTCGTGAATTCTCTGGAATAATCAAAATCTTTCTAAACAATCCTTCAATTAGACTGTTAGTTATAATAAAACTATGTGTTTCAATTGAACTAAACTGTTCAATTTACAATTATATTAAAGTTATTGTCACGACCAAACACACTATAATCCATAAGGCTGGATTGGTCGTGAAAAAAACCGCGATGGTCGTGAAACTTTGGTCGTGAAAGAACGTGTTATTTGGCTCTGTTCTGGCGGTAGCCCTGCACCTCATGTTCGAGGATACAAAGTGGACTTCTAGGTTAATCTAGCAATTGAAATGTCTTATAAACAAAAATTAACACCATGTCTACTTCATCGAATGACTACGTACGGTCATGGACACACCAAAATTACAAAAAACACAATCTTTCCTTTATTAATCTTGTAATTCCTCCTTTCAACTCAAAACGACCGGCACTACAATCCTGACGTACACCCCAAACTAGTCTCTAAAACCAACTGACTCCATCGACGCCAGGCTTGCCACTGTCGTGCTCCAAAGTTGAAAATTTTTCCCAAATGGTCGTGACGCCAAATCGAGGGACAGACTTATTTTGTCATGGTAGTCAGTCTGCAATGACAATAAAATTATAATATGCTCCTTTTTTGTAAGTTTAATAACCATTGATGACATAAAAATATGGCTTTATATATTTCGGCATGAATAATTAGTCTAAAAACAGCGTGAAAGTTGGAAAATGTACCCTAGGGACACGTCATGGTCGTGAATTTCGAGACTTTAAAAATACAAAAAAAATACCTAGAACCTATTTAAAACCAAATAAATGTGTGTAACATGTTGCCCCCGTCCCAAAAAATATCAAAACACATAATAATAAACTATAAATCCAGTATCTACGAAGTAAAAGGCCAGGGACATGAAAACGTACGTTTTTAAATTTTCACTCAAGTCTTTATTATCCTACCTAAAACAGCAAAGGCAAGAATGAACAAGACAGACACTAATAACAGTAAAAACTATTACAAACATGTTAAAATTTTCAAATGAATAAAGTTGATCAAATATCAAGCCTACTTAAGGGTTTAAGTTTGTTTTCCATCAAAACCATTGGAAAAAAACAACATAAGAAACATTAAAACACTTCAGATGTCGCCACAAAAACAATATATGATTCTCAGTAATCTATTACCAAGGTACTTATTTCCTGATGCTCAGTGTTTATAGAACAAAACAATCAGCGTAACTTCACTCACTCATTCTAACAGTTCAGGCAACCTTACAAAAATAATAGGTGACACTTAATAACGCCCATCTCTATCGCATAGTCGAAGATTGGATATTTATTCAAGACTCTACTGTGTTCTTTTTATAATCTTACGGAATATTGAGAAAACTGACACACTGCACAAACCTGATAATGTTTTCGTACTCCTTGTCTTTGCCTTTCGAGTCTCTCCAGCGACGATACATGACCGAAGCGTCCACGTTGGCCGGACTGAATGTGTTGGGTTCGTTCAACAGCGAGATTACGGACAGCAAAATTGTCCTGGAAAACCAATGCAAGATTAGGGAGATTATTTAAACATAAATATCTCACTAAAATTAATAGTCCTTAAAAACTATTGATTTCTGATTAAATTCTTAAAAAAAGAAATTATATAAATTAAACAAGATACACAAAGATATTAAAACAACATTTAGAAGTTGCATCAAAAATGATAATGATTATGCACTACTAGTGTTTACTATTTATAATTTCTGAATAAATTGCCTTGTTGGATTTGGAAATCTGAGCAAAGGTTAAGAACACAGCTTATATCTGATTATATCTGTTAACCTTTGAGTCACTAGTTTCAAAATAGGCTACTTTCTGTAGACAAAACATTTTTTAAATTGTAGTGGAAAAATTAAAAAGTTATAATTATTCAACACACAATAAGACAGTTCTAGTTTTAAGACAAAAATAATTTATTACTCTTTCAAAAAGTGTTCATAGAACTGAAAATATAATGCTAGAAATTAACATAATAATTGTACCAAAAGGGCATCCAATTTACAACTAGATTTGATCCAAGTAAAATTCAATACTTTTGCCAGTAGAGTATTTTTTTTATAGTACTGTATTGACGAGTTTATGAAACAAAAATATGTTAGCTGTCCCTCCTAAAACGTGACCTATTATTTAATGTATAGCTAAACCTTTATCACTGCTGACATAGTTTCATTCTGTCATTGGACCTTAATTACAGCCAAAATCTGTGTATAAGTTTCAGTCCGTCATTCGACACCTTGATTGCAGCCAAAATCTAGATAATTTTCAGGATGTCATTTGACCTTTGGTCACAGACGCTATCTGGATAAGTTTCAGCCTGTCATTTAACCTTAATCACAGACGATATCTGGACGAGTTTTAGTCTGTCATTTGACCTTGATCACAGACGACATCTGGATAATTTTCAGCCTGTCATTTAACCTTACTCACAGACGATATCTGGACGAGTTTTAGTCTGCTATTTGACCTTGATCACAGACGACATCTGGATAAGTTTCAGCCTGTCATTTAACCTTAATCACAGACGATATCTGGACGAGTTTTAGTCTGTCATTTGACCTTGATCACAGACGACATCTGGATAAGTTTCAGCCTGTCATTTAACCTCAATCACAGACGATATCTGGACGAGTTTTAGTTTGTCATTTGACCTTGATCACAGACGACATCTGGATAAGTTTCAGCCTGTCATTTAACCTTAATCACAGACGATATCTGGACGAGTTTCAGCCTGTAATTTGTCCTTGATCGCTGACGATATCTGGATAAGTTTCAGTCCGTCATTCGACCTTGATTGCAGCCAAAATCTAGATAATTTTCAGGATGTCATTTGACCTTTGATCACAGACGACATCTGGATAAGTTTCATCCTGTCATTTAACCTTGATCGCAAACGATATCTGGACGAGTTTCAGCCTGTCATTAGACCTTGATCACTGACGATATCTGGATAAGTTTCAGCCTGTCATTTAACCTTAATCACAGACGATATCTGGAAGAGTTTCAGCCTGTCATTAGACCTTGATCACTGACGATATCTGGATAAGTTTCAGCCTGTCATTTAACCTTAATCACAGACGATATCTGGACGAGTTTCAGCCTGTCATTAGACCTTGATCACTGACGATATCTGGATAAGTTTCAGCCTATCATTTAACCTTAATCACAAACGATATCTGGACGAGTTTCAGCCTGTCATTAGACCTTGATCACTGACGATATCTGGATAAGTTTCAGCCTGTCATTTAACCTTAATCACAGACGATATCTGGACGAGTTTCAGCCTGTCATTAGACCTTGATCACTGACGATATCTGGATAAGTTTCAGCCTATCATTTAACCTTAATCACAAACGATATCTGGACGAGTTTCAGCCTGTCATTAGACCTTGATCACTGACGATATCTGGATAAGTTTCATCCTGTCATTTAACCTTGATCGCAAACAAAATCGAAATTTGGATGAATTTTAGTCTGCCATTTGACCTTGATTACATCCAAAATCTGGATAAGTTTAAGTCTGTCATTTGACCTTGATTACATCCAAAATCTGGATAAGCTGAAGTCTGTCATTTGACCTTGATTACAGCCTACATTACAGATGTCTCTCCCTTATTGCACTGATATATGCTAAAACATCTGGGTTTTCACCACACGTATATTTATTCACAACCAGTACATGCACATATTGCTATCTGCTATTTGACCTTGATCACCGAGTTTTACGAGGCCCTAAGATACCTAGATACCTACAGCTGATATCTTTGCACGTTTCCTCACCTGACATTCTGTGTCGGGTTCCACCTCTCGCACGGCAGCTCGCCCGACTGTGGGTCGTCCACGGGCGGGTGTAGGATGGAAATGCACAGGTCTCCGTTCTGAAACACAATCCTAACCATCAACTAAGCATTCAACATGATGCTACAGAAATCTGCCAAACATACATAAATGTACAAATTTTAACATATCTGTATACATACTATAAGTAACAAAGTCATTTTTCCGTTTAGTAATAAATTGTTGCATCATTCACTTTCGAAAAACCAAGGAAAGCGCATGAAAAATCACTTTTAATCTACTAGGGTTATTAATTTGAAATTTAAGCATTCATACACAAACACATTGTGTACGTGTTCAGACGCGTGATAGTCGATAATACATTTCCATTACGTTTTCACAGCGTTGTCACACAACGGTCCGGGTCCCATAACATAACAACGTCGCCATTGACAATACACTTCTTGGAGACGCGTCACCCAGTTACGGACAATGTCTTCGCGACGCAACGTCAACAAAGGGTTACGTCACGTGACTGCGAGAGTGACGTTGAAGTGGGAGTGATGTAACGTCATGTGGTGAAGGGTGAAGGTGGTTCGATGCGCGCATCTGCAGAGATGCGCATTTAAACGTTCACCTTTAGCAGTAAAGGTGGAGGAAAAGCTCCTGAAAGCAACAATGTTTTGTTGCTAAATAGGCTAAAAATAAAACATACAATGCAGCAAAACGACGTTCTATTTTTAATTGTGGATGGTTGAGTTATGAAAGTGCTTGCCTAAAAAACTTAAAGTTGATCAATTTAGGCTTGGCGACAAGTCAACGATTTGACAAACAGTCTGGAATTATTGAACCGTCGTAATTGTCAAATCGGAGTCGACGACGGATTTAGAAGCCGACAATTTTCGGATGAGTCATTAAAGTGCTTGCTTTTCGTAAGGTTGTATGTTGTTTCCAACCAACGTAATTTTTTATTGAATTAATTGCGCTTTCTGACAAGTCGACGCTAAAAAAAACAGCATTAGGAGTTGAACCATAGATTAAAGGAGTAAACACTACTCTAGGTCTACCCTCTGGTTGAAAGCAAGCAAGTTAACATAACGCCCGGAACACTTTATGAACACCACTTTCCAAGAATTACTCAACAATGGGAATTGACAACTGAAGTAGACAACGGATTTAGAAACCGCCGAAAATGTTCAGTCGAGTTATATAAGAGTTTGCATAGACTACAAATCCCAAGGTAGTAAATTCCAATCCTATGACAATCGTATTATTTATGATGCTTTGAGACAACACAACCAAGGTTTGAATATAAAAAATCCTCAAGTAGGCATGTAAAAAACCACCCGAAACATAAAAAAGACGTCCGCATAGGACTTTCCAATTACCCAACGGTTGACAGCTCGGCGGATTTAGAAACTTCCGAAAATTGTCACCGTCGAAAGTGAACAAAAATACCCGGCTAGGCCTGAGACTTGAGGGGAACCATTGTTGGGAAATGAATCGGGAGAGCGGAACGTTGGGAAAGCGAGCCGCAGTCGTTACCCAATTATTATGTTGTCGACAAAATCGACCAAAACCGAGGACGAGGAACCGTGTAACGGTGTTGTGCCGTGAGTCGTCCCACCGCTTCAGATGAACCGTGTTTCATTACTGCTGCGCGTGCACAACATGCGCATAAGGGGTTATAGGGGACATTTTCTACCACAAGTTATAAACTGTAGCAATATGACACATACTGAATCCCATTAGCTTCTCAACAATCATTATTATGCAATAACTTTTTTACAGTTAAGTTTACCGCATTGTGGTTTTTGTCATTTTGTTAACAGTTTAAAAGTTCACTTTACTTAGGCCGAATTCTTTTTTTCAAAATTAGTTTCCAATATGTGAAAAACCATTTTTTGTTTGTTTTATGGGATCTGTACCATTAAAATCAAAAATTTAAAAAATCACAAAAAAACCTTATAGATACCATGGGTTAGTTAACATGCCAAATTTCATAAAAATCATACCACCGGTGTAGTCTGTTGCTCTGTAAACATCCACACACACACATACACAGACACGCAGACAAACAAACATTTTATTGGGTTCGAGGGTACTCAACAGGGTTAGTTCCGTCCAAAACTCAAATTCGAACATTTTGACGGAAAATACTTTTGCATATACAACGTATAGGGAAGAAAGTAAAAGAGACTGTTCGTGTCACCAAATACAGTAGGCTACATTGCTCCATTCCAGCCTGGTTCTGCAAAACCCGAGGTGCTAAAGAGATTGTTTCACAGCTCGTATTCCAGTCGCGATTTAACAAGGGTATATTAGCCAGCTGCAGGCGAGGTCACCAATAATCGGTTGGATTTGTCAAAGGTCATGCGAAGACACGGTCGCGGTCGCGGCCCTGTGCGTGCGAAACCTATCGATATTGCGATATAGCGATACTACTACTCGCGATCGATACTTACGAGTCGAAACTACACAATTGCTTAATGCAATAAGAACATAAAACATACAATTCTTTTTAAAGTTTTATCTGTAAGCGTACAATAACACTTTAAGAAACGAAATAACTTTTTAAACTATACTTTACGCAAGAATGCAAAGAAAATCGGTCATTTTGATTTTTTAGGGTAAGAATAATATAATGTAGGAAAATTGTCAAAACACCTTGTTCCTATTACCCAGTTTTTCTAGTCCGCGAACTCATTCATGTTTCGTTGATCCAACCCTAAACATTCATGCAAAATTTCATCAAAATCTGATCACAATTGTCTTGAGTTATCGTGTTCACTGACACTTACACACAAATATTTGAACAAAAAATTATGCCTCTGGGAATATACAAATGAAAAAGTAAATACGTCTAGGTATTTTCATGCCATCTACGGCATTAGATTCTTCCCTACAGGACAAATTCACTAAAACACACACATCGACCACTACTAAACGATTGGCATTCATAAATTGCAAAGAAACTATTTCTATTAAGAAAAACTCAATTTTTAACTTCTGCAGATGAAAGTACACATATAGGTTTATGAATCGGTGGTCTCACGTTCTCAGTTCGAATTATATACCAAATAAACACAACATTCTACAACCACATAGAACTTATAGGATCAATACAACAAGGAAGTGTCCAGTAAATGTTCATGCCAGTGCAGACATTATCATCACGAGTTAAAAAATCTTTCAAGTTTCAGGAACTAGAATCAGATCCCGTCCTGAGTAAGGAGGTACTTAAATACGTCGAGGTTAGTACACAAACCAAAACAAAACTGGAAAACCACAAAAAACCCACTCAAAGAGATGGATTAAATATCCATACTTGCGAACACGATATACACGTTTGCACAAAATCTTCACATAGAGTATTTAAATTGTATGCTTCAATCAGAACCATCTATGCTAAACATTGTGGAAGTTAAAAGGTGTTTCATTCGATATATCGCATCGCATTATCGCCCGTCAACTATCGAATGGGTGGCGCCTTGCCAGCAAGGTCGGGTTTTGAGGCCAAGTTGAATCTATGAGTAAACTACTCAATACTCTCTGTTCCGCATTAGAAAATCTCAATTCATAATAAGTAAGCTTACCGTATTTGCGTCACCATTGCACTATCTACAATGATGACGACTTTGAATTGTTTAAATAAACTTTTGCGGAAATGTCTAAGGGGTATTAGGATCTGGGATTGAATAGTCGTTGTATGTTTTTATGCAGTACGTATACTGAATAGGGGGTATACTTACATGAATAGTAGTATAAGGAACCCTACAGTTCAATAAAAAGTAAAATACGACATTCCAATTCCAAATAAACTGTAGCCTGCAAGAAATCTGTTTCAACTTCATTTCATCGCAACGCGATCTTTTTTCACGACTGATCAGTAAACTTATGCCTTATGATTAAACAAGTATGTGTTTCATTATCAGTTACATCGACGTACAAGTGTGCTGCACAAATAAGGTATTTACTCAGGGGAGGTATAGAAGAGGCTACGATGACAGCTGTGGGCTTCTTATTAGCTGAGGGAACGACATTCATTACCGTAAGAAAACTGTCAGTAGCCATCAGCCTCGGTGGTCTAATGGTTAGCGTGCCGGGCTGATATACATTAGGTCCCGGGTTCGAATCCTGCTGGTAGCATTAACTTTTTGTCCAAGATTTTTTTATTATCAGCAAGTTTGGTTGGTTTGGTTCGGTTATTACAGTTTAATTTTATTATTAAGTCATTACAACATTTTAATTGAGCGAATTCTAGTTTTATTTAATAAACAGAATTATTTTTCCGATTACTAAACTTTTGTTATATTATTTCTTTATCAGCAAGTTTGGTTAGTTCGGTTAGGTTATGATAGTTTAATTTTATAATTAAAAAATAATAAAATTTGAATTTGAGACATTTATAATTTTATTTTATGAACAGAACTATTTTTGCGATAACCTGCATTGCCAAAGTGCTCTCTACTACAGCGCTGTTCACGGAGGAATTTTGAACTAAATGCCTCATTCGTACCTCCCCTAAGTCAGACCCCACAAATAACAAGAAACAGTAATTCGCTACAAGTGTTAGTCACGATGTTATCATAGGTGTTTCCCAAACATGGATTAACTCCACGGTGACGTCATTATGATGTCGGTGATTTTGATGATGCAACATTTACATTATTTAAAACCATTACGCATCGTGTTACTTGTGAAATATCATTACGTGAGATTTGGTAAGCATGGCATTTAGATTTCAAAAATACTATTTGATTTTACAGAATCACACTTTCTTGTGCTATAAAGAAGTTTTAATTTTTAAGTAAAATAACAAAATCAATCAATTAATTAAGGTTAATAAAGGCTATAGCAATCTAGCAAGCACCCCCCCCCCCACACACACACATATAGAATTTAGTGTATATGCTGCTGATTTCTGACGGACCTAATTAGAAATTATTTTATACAGCTACAAGAACCTAATGTTTATTTCTTTTAGTTTTGTTGGTTTCGTAGGTAGCATGATCCCGTATAGTGTATAGAGAATAAGTTATCATTATTCTCATGGTGACCCTGGGACAAAGTATACTAACCGTTTAAGTTCGTTAAAAAT